AACCTGGAAAGTTGAACGCTCTCTGGAACATTTTCTTATTTTCGTGAGGCACTCTCACATTTGAACGAACGAATTCTCAAAAAGCATCTTTCAATTTTTTTAAAGCATATCAACATCAATCAATCAATAATTACAATGAGAAGCTAGCCGTGATTTGAAAATCGATGAAGATGCAATCAGAGTTCACCAAAGGGATCACAATTTTTGATAACAATATATAGCGTTTGAAAAGGAGTGCAGAAAAAAAAAGATGAGAATTTGTTAAGTGAACTGAGAAGAATGAGCTACTTGCAGCGGGATTCCGCCAACCATAGAATCGATGCATACTGATTATTTCACTAATTCTAAATCTATTCCTCCTTAGCGTTATCGTCGACGACCATGAACATCTTTTGCACAAAAATGGTGATCGACTCTGAAATAATACCAACTTACAGCAGAAGGAAACAAGTGTTCCAGGAAACTAGTCGTTTTTACTGAATTGAAAAAATACATAGAAGCAGAATGATCTGCAGGTGTCTGCGTCTCTCACCCTGGCACGACTATTGAGGAGTTCAGAGTTCTTCGCTCAGGGTACAGCATCGTGATGTGTGAATGGTAGTGTAGGTACGACCTCCGCCTCCCCTCCGCCAATACCTACCTACCAATTCCCCACATTTTCCAGTTTTTCACCCAAAAATTTTCCCTGGGGAGGGTAGTACACATGAAACAGGCGAAAAGTCAACAACCGAGAAAAAATTTTTCTCAACCAATACCTACCTACCAATTCCCCACATTTTCCAGTTTTTCCACAAAAATTTCTCTCAAGCGCACATACTGGGAAATAGCTCTGTCAAAGTGCACAAGAATTTCTAGGAAAAAAGCATCCGACCCAACATTTTTGGCTAAGAGTGGACATGAAGTCCAGGCACGTGGTTGCGACAAGGGTCATGACTCACATCTGTAAGGCTGCGTTCATACCTTGCGGCAGCGTCCACCAGCGACCATCGGCTTTTCGAGCGGCCGTCAGCATTAGCTACTAGGGAAGTGTATCACCATTTGGCCACCAGCGAACTTATGGAGGATGTAGGAGGAAGGCAGACTGCTGGGTAATATGAGGAGTGGGGAAAGAAGAAGATGGTTCAATGCCGTGAAAGTCCCGTGCGGGCCAATCGCACCGTACTATACAGTACCTGGACGTTCCTGGAAGCTGGTGGCCGCTGGAGGACGCTGACACTGCTAGATCGATATCCATACTTAACTAGTATCTCGGGCGCTGATGTTCGCTGGTGGACGCTGGTAGGCCGCTTCCATTCGGTAAGACCGATACTATGTCTTTCGTAATCACTGGAGGCGTGCCGCACGCTTTGGAAAGCTGGACGCTATTGTATCGCTGGTGGTATGCTGCCGCAAAGTATTGAACGCAGCATATCCGTGATACATTTCTACTTTTGGTCATGAGCGTATATACATGTAGTCGGAAGAAATCGGAGTACTGTTGTGTCAGTGCGCCTCAGTTACTGTGCTACGACCGATCGTTCCGGGGATAAGCTATCGTTTATGTGAAGAGTCTATCTCAAAAAAATATTAGAAAAAATAATAATCAACGAACCAATCAAAGAGTCTACACATTTGGGCTTGTTTTTCCATGCGATAAAAATGAGGTAGACAGGCACGGCGGTCAGCATAATCATTAAACCGATCGCTGAAATATTGATATAAAATATCACCAAAAGCAACTTCTATCGAATGCACACGCGCAAAATCGATGCCTATCCTCATAGCCGCCTTTGATGAACCTCAGTGGGAGAGTAAATAGAGAAAAACGTGAATTAAGAAAAGATGCAACAGGACTGGCAATGGATATCTTACCAGTATCTTTCGGAGCAGCCATAATCGGTATTATCACTAAAGCTGCGCAACCAGCCATGAAGATCGTTGGCCATATCAAGGAGACCTGCAAAAGAGAGGATGTAACTGTAGAATATCGCCAGGTTATTGACACGTTGCTAGGTATAGGACGTATTACTGCTGCTCTGCTCATTACTTGTTACTAAGAAAATCAACAGTAACAACTCTGAATAACGACCCTGTCTGCACAGACCCTGTCGAGGCATCTGTGTGTCACCACAGACAGCTTCCTTTGAACTGGGATCAGTTGTGGAGTAGCTCCCAAAGGGCATCAAAAAGTGCTATACCTTGATGGGCCTTTCGGCATTCGGCATTGTTTTCCGTAAATAGAACAGGGCAGCTATGGCGGCTCCGATTGCCAGAAAGTATGTGACTTGAATGTAGTTGATAAGAGAGTAGACATTCTTCGATAAAACGAGGTAGCCGAGTGCCAAACCTCCCTAAAAATAG